GAGTGGAGCAGAGGTGAGGTGGAGTTGGTATGGATATGACATCACCTCTGCATATTGCATTGGTGACATCATTTCATGTAAACACCATTGCCAATATTCCTCAGACTTCTAACTCTGCCTCTGTAAGCTCCACTACCTCTGAGCTTCATGGACCTACCTCGGCCCTTTCACTGTTTCTACTGTATGTTCATACTTCTCCCTCACCCCTTATTTGGACAATGTCAGGGCCCAGCCTTGGACTTGGAGGCTCCCTGACCTCAACCCCCATCTGGCCTGTCCTCACACTATGTGGGGCATGAGATGAGAAGAAGGGTAAAGGTCTCATCTCCCTGCATGGTTGCTATATAAAGGAATGGGTCACATCTGTACAGCTCCTAGAGTTGTGTAGTGTGACCCAGAGGGAACCTCCAGGTGGCAGTGCCCAGTGAGTGTGGGAAGATTCAGGGCAAGTTGCTTGCCCAGAATGTTCCCACAGTTGTGGCTGTGCTGGTTTCTGGGCAAGCTGCTCGCTCAGAGAGTTCCCACACTATCCCATGCATGTGAATACTGTCATATCCCGGATCTTCCACCTCCTTCCGCCCATTTCCTATACAACTCCCATGACCTCCACCAGCCCTCCCAATCTCTCTCTGCTGCCTCTGGTCGATGCCAATGGCCCTAGGACTACCTCCTCCTTCGACTCTCTCCCACTCTGCCTCCCATCTACGTTGAAAGAGGGCTCACAGCTCTCGATGCCGACTAAGCTTGTGGGGGCCAAACTCTCCAAAATCCTACTTTCTTGACTAAACTCGCTATGCTCTCGATCCTTAAACTCCATGTGGGTTCTCTGGGATTTCCGCAAGGTCCGGGCTCAACAAATCCACTACCCACTCATTGCAGGCTAGATTGTTGCCCTTATTCCTACTGTTGGAATTCCACTCACTCACACCCTCTCTAGCGCATCCTAGCACCTTAGAGACTTTTTGGGGGAGGGGAGAACTTCTATTCCAGAATCCGGTATGTACAGGATATAAGGAACAATTATTTTTAGAAATAATTGATGGTGAATATTGGTGCCATATGGCACCTGAATACCTTATTAGGTGAAATAATAAAAAAGGGTAACAGTAACAATAAAAGAATATCAATCAATAACTGAAATGATGGTGAAATATGAAAATAGATAACTCTCACGCAGCCAATAGGCATTTTTACCAATTTATTAGACACTGTGGGAACGAGTGAGGCTGGAATTCTGGGTTGCCGCTTGAGATTCCCATGCCCGCACATACTCGTGACCTGTTGTGCCTAACTTCTCCAACACAGAACTCCGTCAATTCTCCACCGATTAAGATGTTCTTGATATTGTCAGAATCGTACGAATTAGGAATATTTTTAGATACCAAATTTGTACCAAGTCATCGCGTGAATAGAAGTGGTTTTCTAATCGTGGAAGCGGGTATCCGAGCCGGCTCTGCATGTGGGCGATTATCCCGCCTACAACGTCTGCATCACCTCTGGACCTCCGCTACCACACCTCCACCTCCTTGGACCCCTTGTTCAAAGGAGATGGACCTGCTCATTGTTGATAAACCTCAACTTGCCTATCCACCCTCCTTCTGACTTCTGGTCTCCACACCTCCGGTACCTCCCCATCCCTACCTTACCTCCGGTCTTGATAATCTTCATTGTTTTATCATTTGATATTTTCTACAACCCCAATCTTCCGGACTACAACTTCCAGGCTCCGGACCTTTCTGGACGTCTTCCTCTGTAGTCCCCTGCTTATTCTTAGACAGTTCCAGACCTTGCCATTCAGTTGGCTTTTAATTCTCCCACTCCACAAACCTCAGATGTAATTCAGGCTTTTCGCCTATTCCTTATTTGTCCTGTGGATCCCTTTCTATTTACTTCTCCTTCCCTTTGTTTACCTTCAGATCCAAATTGTTCTGATATATGTATGCATGTACCCCTCCAGTAAATAGTTCCCCCAGTTATAATATAAAAGTCTTAAGCCCTTGAAAAAACCTCCTCCAGGACATCTATCGCATCCCACTTGTCTGCTACTCTACCCTGAACCAAGAGCTGAGTAACAGGTGTGTCTAAAGGCACCTTGGTATAAAACCCAAATGAATTGCATGACGAACAATTGACCCTCACTAACGCCTCCATTGTTAAGTAGTGAGGGGGGGCCTCCAGCCCCCTTCTGCTGGTGGCCTCGGTTCCTCCATTGCCAGCTCCCCTGACAAATTGGGGACAACAAGAACATAATGGGTGCAGTGCTCTGTTCCAAGTCACTGAAGCTGAGTCCCTTCAACACCCTGTCACCCTCGGAGCTCCGCCCCACCTCCAGTTTGTCTCCAACCCACTGTCAGAAGACCCGGAACACCGAGCTCCACCAGACAGCACCGCCTGGGCACCGATCAGATCTATCCCCAGGAACATGTTCATGACAGATACACAATGTCATATCCATACATACCTGATCCTGATTTGACTCCCAGACCCCCCTCCACCACCTCTGGAGTCCTACCCTATTCCCATCCACTCCAATCTCCACCTTCCTATCCTCCTGACTGTCAGGGTTCACGTGTTAGTTTGCGATAAGAAGTGTCCCGAAAACCTAGTTATTGATACAGCTGAGGTTCTACCCTTCAGTGAACATAGAGTTTATATACACACAAGATGACATAAGCAGACACATGCGAGAGAGAGATAACTGGAAGCTAAGTTGGCTAATGGTAGACAACGAAACAAGATAGGAAGAAAGGGGTGTCTGGATATAGGGGTGGTGGTGACATGTGGGAATGTGATGACGTACGATATGATAGGGGATATGTAGCTACATGCAGGTGCAGCTACATATGATATCGAATAGGGGTATCAGGCAACCACATATGTATTGTCCCCTGACACTGACTCTCTCCCAACCAATCTCCGCTATGGTACAACCTTCCACTCCCATCCCATACTCCAAACTCAGACACCTTTTGTACATCTGCTCTGAGATCCCATCATGGTCCCAACCATGGACTTTGACTCCACCCTGGCCTAAGTCCATTGCATTGGTGACCTCTTTTCACGTAAATGCTGTAGGCAGGCACAGCTGGTACCATGCAAACGAGCCAATTATCACAATTCTACCACCCACGTCAAGCACCCCACTCCCAAAACACATCTACCACTGTTCCAGATACCCCTTCCATGTTTCCCATATTTTTCCGATTTTTTTCAAGCCATTCCTCACCACAGACAACCATCAGTTTCCAAATTGGGTAACTGTCACCCGCATATTCCACCGCTTCCTCTGTATCTCCATCAATTCTCCACCGATCCGGACGAATTTGGTATCGTTAAAAAGCCCTCGTCAACACGAGTCGAACAACGTCACGAGTGACGCATTTGGTTCAGCGGTTGTTCCGATCGCCATGTTTCTTTATTTCCTTAACAACATCAATATTTCTTTGATATTACTTTTTTCTTACTTGTTCCTTGTGGATCTGTTGCCGTCCCAAACCCGTCGGATCATTCGGATTTCCACGCATACTTTTTTCATATTTATAACTACCTCTTTCCTGTATTACAAGAAGGACTCCCCCAACAGAGAGAGGTGCTCCCCAACAGACATGAAGTTTCAGAAGAAGTTTACCAGCACCCAGAGCGGTGAATACGAAGCCAAAGAGGCTCAAGACATAGTACAGGGACAGAGTTCCCTTTAGTTTGATTATCAGTGAGATTTATGAGTTTATCTTTTTTATCACATCACACCCAGACCATTTCCCCCCCTCCTTCCTCATCATCTGAACCTCCCCTGAGCACTCCCAACTCTGCGGCCCCCCTCTCTTTCTCGTTAGGGTGGTAGATCCCTTGCCCCCTTACAACGCCATTGCCAATATTCCTTGGACTTCCAACTCCACCTCTGTAAGCTCTGCTACCTCTGAGCTTCATGGACCTACCTCAGCACTTTTGCTGTCCATAGTGTATACTTCACACTTCTCCCTCACCCTTATTTGGACTACTGCTTCTTTCTATTCAGCCAGTTAGTCATCCACTGTCATATCCCGGAATCCCAACACTGCACTTCCACACAACACTCCCTACAACCTTGCCATTGCCTACACCATTTCCCCCTACAGTCCCACTCCACTTCTGCCCCTACTGTCTCTGCTCCGGGCTGGACCTCGGCACACTCACCCTCAGCCATCTCTACCCCAGATGCTTGGACCCAAGTTGGAACCTTTGGAATCCCCAGACTGCTCCGACCTCCTGATGGATTCCTGACATTTTATTATATAATAGATGACACACATAAGTCATCACTCTTGGAAGCAAATTATTTCTAAACAAGTGTGCACCCCATGGAGTTGACACAACCACTTTAGATATATTTGAGAACCTACAGTGTGTAAAGTAGACTGGAATGGACAAACTCCCGGTTTTAGAATTTCAATATATGGTTGCAATCAAAAGTTGAGGTGTGAAAATTTGATGCTGTCAGGAATCAACATTTCATCACTCCCTGATCCCAGAGACAACGTTTCAAAAATCAGTTCTTGAACAATTTTGCACCACAGAGCTATCCGAATAAATACAGAAAGCAAACATTGTTAAACTGTCTTGTTGTGCTCATGGGGCTTAGTAGGAAGCAAAAGCGTACACAGAACCTGGGGAAATACTCTCAAAAAAAGGTGAGCTTTATGATCTGATTTGGTCTATCCTGGTTAAAAGTCAACTAAAATTTTATGCCAGACTCAGAAATCCCATCCCATTTTGAAACCTTGTCAGGGGACGACCTCTGGGTCCCCATAACCCCTCTCTCTACAACCCACAACCTGACCTGTAAACAGCCCTGTCCAGGGCATAATCTACTGTGGGTAAGAAAGGTGAGAAGAAGGTTAACTTCTCACTTTCCCACAGTGGCCCAATATGGCAAAAACTTCCGGGGATACCCGGAAGTCACATGAAGAATAGGAACCGGGCCTGGAGCATGTGGCACATGGAGCATGTGGGGCAGAGCACACATGCAGGTCCAGGTCCGGGTCCGGGCTAGTCAGGGTGTGTGCCCTGACAAACCTGTGGAATTTCCGACCCATTCCACATCATCCTTACCAACCCAGCCACCTGACAGCTGCCACAGGGATGACCCTGGTGATCTTGGGCCTGAGCTAGATGACGATGATGACAACACCTCTGTGGCCAGCATCGATGATGATCTGCCTGCAGATTTCTCATCTCTTGAGATCTTCATGCAACACCTATCAAATGCTCAGAGAACTCTTGCTCAGCTTGCTAACATCAGGGGTCAAATACCTGGCCATTGTGTCAAGTATACTGGCTGCACTGTGAATGGCCAGCGTTCACACCACTCTCAGTTCTTGGATGCCCAGATGTTAGAGACCGGAAGCGAGACGAAGGAGTTGTCTCCGTGATGGAGGGCTTTGGCCTCAGCAACTCAGACCAGGAGCACTGTGCCTAGTTACACATCTGTGCCCTAATTTACTTACTGGCAGAGAGAACTACAAAGGGGGATCAACTCTAGTTGATTTTATCACTGGGGTGTAACCTACATATGTACAAGTTAAGTATATATATAGTTACAGCGAGGGTGGGCCCGTGAATGGTGGGACTGAGCAGAGCAGAGCTAACAGAGTTAAATGTTAGCTGACTGAATATTACCGATGAGTCAGGTTACAGGGTTAGTGGAGTAGCAGGCTATACCCAGAAATGGAAAGGAGGGATAGGCCTGAAGGTAGACTTGCAGGGCAAGCAAGTGAATTGCCCAGCGGGGGTGGGAGTGCACCAGCGGATGTTGGAGCTGTCCAGAGGCCTTCGGGGCTCTGTACTTAGGGAGGCATAGGTAATATATAGAAAAGAGGGGGTGGTGACTGTTACGGATACGGAGTCTCCAATTACGGATCCTGGGCAAGTCGAGGAGGCGTGGTCGACTGAAATGCGACCCACACGTCAACCTGAAGCCCTCCCGTCGGGATGGACTACTTTTGAAGATCTCATATCTCCCGCGGAAGAGACCACCTTCGTTTGTAAATGCACCCTACCGTCCAGGGCCTTCCCGGTGCCTAGACCAAGCATTAATGTCGCTGCAGGGATGTTACTCAGAGACGAACCCTCGATGCCATTCGTCACAGTTCGTCGAGAGACCAACGCTTTCGAGAACCCCAAGGAGAATGTGGGTTACACGGAATTTGTGAAAGGTCTGAGGGTCGGAAGGAAGACAGAGTTGGGACCTATCGAGGAGAGACTCGATCCCGACAACCGTGGACTCGAACCCCCTCGTGTCCCTCACCATCCGGTGAATGAAGGACCCATTGGATCCAGAGATCCAGGTCATGATCCGAGACAACCACCTCCCGACCCCTGGCAGCCGCCACCACGAGATGCGGGTCCACCACCCCCATCAGGACCACCACCTCCACCTGGACCACCCCCTCCGCCCGGTGGGGCTCCCTACCCGGGGCACCTTCCACCCGTCAGATACGCTGGGGCACCGCCCCCTCCCCCGCCTCCCGGACCTGGAGCGTTGGCAGCGCCTCAGCAGAATCCTGGGTACAGACCTCCTCCTCTCGACCGCACGCAACCTTACGTGGACCGCAAATACACTGCGTCAGACTTCCCGGAGTTCGATGGGTCGATCGACAGCTATATAACGTGGTGCAGCATATGTCGGAACCTGGCCAGGCACTCGCCTGCTTTCGCCCAACAAATGACCTGCGTACTCCCTGATCGTTTCAAGGGTGCTCTGGCAGACTGGTGGTCGACTGTACCGGTCACCGACAAGTTGTATTTTACCAACAATTGGGAAGATCTACACGGATATGTGCTACATTTCTTCTTAACACCCGCCTTCCTCGACAAGATTCGAGATCGATTCCACGCTTGTAGGTACCGTAAGGGCGAAAGGTACTCTAAGGAGTCCCCACACGACTTCGCGATGCACAAACTACGACTCTTGCGCATCCTATATCCACTCGCCGATGTTCCCGGACCAGAGGTCTTGAGGGGCGAAGCCCGAAGACTTCTAGAAGACATCCCGAAAGGATGGTGGGCCCATCTCAACATCGATCAGGTCGACACAGCCGAAGAACTCTTACGGCTGACCAAACTTAAGCATGACGAATTAGTAGCTAGCGACGAATTCAGCATCGACGCTTTAGCAAACCGAGTCGCCCGCATTAATTTGGAGAGGAATAAACGCGGAGGAGACCGTGTCGAGACCAGAAGCGTCGCCGTCGTGTCTGGAAGCCAGACCTACCCTACGAGCGACTTCAAGTCGCGAAAGAAACCGCCCAGACCATGTCGGCACTGTGGAAGTGCGAACCATTGGGACAACGACTGTTCCCCTAGGAAGGCCGATCGAGCCAGGAACGACCGTAAGGAACGTGACAACTCGTCCAAGTTGGAAAGCACCTACCGACGGGCTTATGCTGCCTTAGTGGAAGGTCAGGAAGCAGAATTCGCAGTTGTCACGACCGACAAATCCCGGGGCTCCGTCAGCGGCGAACCAATGCCGATAGGCGAATCCGCCGACCCGAAACCCATCCTAACCAGCCCCCAACCCCATGTCTGGCCCCCTGCCTTACTGTGTGAGACTTGGCCAAGAATCAGAACCTAGACCCTGTCGGTATTCCGACCTTACCTCCAGTTCCTGAGCCCTTGGTGCTCCCGGCATTCAGTCATGCCTGCCTTGTCTCCATCTGAACCACACATCGCTTCCTGCTATGTGGTCACAGCCATGCCCCGCTTCCGTGCATTCCGCACCCTCTGCCCACTCCGCACCCTCTGCCCACCTCTGTACCTCTGTTGGCCTTCATGCTGTCCTTGTGTGACAGTGCTGGCAGATCAACCTCTGTTCGCGGACTTGTGTCGGCACCGCACCGACCCCGCTTATTTGCGGACTTGTATCGGCGCCGCGCGCTGACCTCCGCTTTCCCTCTGGCCATTTGTCACTTGGCAGCTTATCATTCATTCCTTGCCGAGTGCCATTTATTGTTTGCTTCCCTGCCAATATCGGCATTTGATCCCCTCTTTATTGGCACTAGGTTATTGATCTCATTCAGTTATTCATCAATAACCCTTGCCACTTATTGTTTAGTGATCTGTTCCTCATTTCCAGTTCCCGGGCTCTTGTCCTTATTTAGTTTGACAATCCCCGCTTATCTCCGCGCCGGACCGCGCCGGACTGACCGGCCTTTCTATATTCCCTCTTGCCTATTTATCTACCTTGAAAATACTTTCGGGGACCCCAGTCTGAAATCAACTAGAGTACCCCCCCTGTCTGTTCTGAGTCTCTCCTTCTGCAAAGGGGGCTTCCCCCCCTCTGAGTCCGCGTTCCTCCTACAGGTCCGCTCCGCCCGCAAGTCTTGTTTGAAGTCCGCTGTGAGTGTCAGTTTGTAAATACGGGATCTCCCCCAAACGTCAAGCTCAGGGCACAGCGCTCCACCTGAGTCGCTGAGGCCGCGATCCCACTCTGCTAACCTTGAACAGCGCTTCCGGACGCGCCGCATATTTCCGCCCGCATATCCGCGCGTGCGCGCTCCAACAGACCTCTGCCACAATCTCCGACTCCGACAATAATCCAGCCTCTGACAATATTCCCGTCTCTGACAGCAGTGGCCTACACAGAGTTTTGTACCCTGTCCGATTCCGAATCGTCGGACATACCTGACATAGATAATGCCGAAGATTCTTCCTTTTCTTACATTGCGGCCTGTACATGGGAGGAGATCCTGCCTGATGAGAGACTCATTGGGGCCGCCCTGTTCCCGGGTGAGATATATGAAGCCCGTAAGATATTTGAGCGACCCCCAGGTCAGCAGTCCTTAGGATCTGACGCTTGTCGAGTCCATTGTCGTATCAACGCAATAGACGGGATCGAGATAGAAGCGTTGGCCGACTCTGGGGCAGCCTGCACGCTAATATCGACTGACCTGTACGACCGAATTAAAGGAGAAGGCACCCGCATTAAGCAGGGATTGAAATTGAATTTGGTTCAGCTAACAGGGAAGGCTAAATGTCAAGGCTACACGACGATTGACTTATACCTACCCTCACAACGAGGTCACGTCCTGTTGCGAGGTGTGGAAGCCTACGTGCTCAAAGGGATGACCATCCCTCTGTTGATAGCCGAAGACGTGCAGACAGCGTTCCAGCTGCATACCATGCGTCCACCGGAACGAGAATTCTGGCAAGTGGCAGACTCAGACCACCAAGTTCCCCTCAAGAGCCAGATCCATCACGCGCCCGCCTATCCAGTTATAGCCGGTCCTTCTCTTTCTCGAGAACCTAAACGAGTGAACGTCTCGGGTACAGGTTGACTAAAAATCACGGAGGATGTGACCCTAGAACCGTACACAGTCCGCCTGGTTGGGGTCACTGGTAACTTCGACCACAACTCGGGAGTACGCCTCGTCGAAGGACGGAAGACGGGATGGAAACAGGGTGACTATCTGCCACCTCCGACTATGCTCGTAAACACCGCCCATTCCCTTAGGCTACCCTTGACCAATCCGAACCCATACCCGATCAAAGTCCAGAGCGGGACTACGATAGCATCCATGTGTAATCCCAACGAGGATCTAGATGGCGCCGAACAACTAAGCGAGCCTCAGATCCGTGAGTTCCAGAGTAAAGGACTATTAATACAGGCTGTCGCAGCGGAAGCCAATGTCCTGGGACCACCCGAGGAAGTCCATGATATCGACGAAGCTTTGGCCGGACCAAAGACGGCAGAGACGATACCTGGAGACAAGGTCCTTCCTGAAACCTTGGTGGATGTGGTAGACGTGAACCCAGAGTTATCGCCCGAAGAAAAGGAACAGCTCCGAGCCTTGGTGCAGAAGCACGGGAGGGCCTTCGCTACGGCTGGGAACCTGGGACGATATGATGCCCGCGTGCATATATCATTAAAAGAAGGAGCGAAACCCATCTCGCTTCCGCCATACCACGCCTCCCCTCTGAAAAGGGAGATCATCGATAAACAGCTAGACGCCTGGTTAGAGATGGGAGTAATCGAGCCGTCCCAGAGTCCCTGGGGCGCCCCGGTTATAATCGTCAGTCAAAAGGGGAAGAACAGGCTTTGCGTGGATTGGCGAAAACTGAATGAGGTCACTATCCCGGACGAGTTCCCTATTCCAAGGCAAACGGATATTCTACAGGCCCTTTCCGGCTCCCAATACATGTCAACCTTCGACGCGCTATCAGGGTTTACGCAATTGGAGTTCGATCAAGAATCGAGAGACAAGACGGCCTTTCGTACCCATCGCGGATTGTTTCAATTTACGAGGATGCCCTTCGGGTGGCGAAACGGCCCACCCGTGTTCCAAAGAGTCATGCAGGAAGTCTTAGCTCCTTTCCTGTGGCAATTCGCCCTAGTGTACATCGACGACATCGTAGTATACTCCACATCATTCGC